AATATTTTTTCAAGGATTAACACAAGGCGTGGATTTTTTAAAGAATATTTTTTCAAGGATTAACACAAGGCGTTTTTTTAAGGATTAACACAAGGCGTGGATTTTTTAAAGAATATTTTTTCAAGGATTAACACAAGGCGTGGATTTTTTAAAGAATATTTTTTCAAGGATTAACACAAGGCGTGGATTTTTTAAATAATATTTTTTCAAGGATTAACACAAGGCGTGGATTTTTTAAAGAATATTTTTTCAAGGATTAACACAAGGCGTGGATTTTTTAAAGAATATTTTTTCAAGGATCAACACAAGGAGTGGATTTTTAAAGAATTTTTTTTCAAGGATGAACACAAGGCGTGGATTTTTTTAAAGAATATTTTTTCAAGGATCAACACAAGGCGTGGATTTTTTAAAGAATATTTTTTCAAGGATCAACACCAGGCGTGGATTTTTTAAAGAATATTTTTTCAAGGATCAACACCAGGCGTGGATTTTTTAAAGAATATTTTTTCAAGGATCAACACCAGGCGTGGATTTTTTAAAGAATATTTTTTCAAGGATCAACACCAGGCGTGGATTTTTTAAAGAATATTTTTTCAAGGATCAACACCAGGCGTGGATTTTTTAAAGAATATTTTTTCAAGGATCAACACCAGGCGTGGATTTTTTAAAGAATATTTTTTCAAGGATCAACACCAGGCGTGGATTTTTTAAAGAATATTTTTTCAAGGATCAACACCAGGCGTGGATTTTTTAAAGAATATTTTTTCAAGGATCAACACCAGGCGTGGATTTTTTAAAGAATATTTTTTCAAGGATCAACACCAGGCGTGGATTTTTTAAAGAATATTTTTTCAAGGATCAACACCAGGCGTGGATTTTTTAAAGAATATTTTTTCAAGGATCAACACCAGGCGTGGATTTTTTAAAGAATATTTTTTCAAGGATCAACACCAGGCGTGGATTTTTTAAAGAATATTTTTTCAAGGATCATCAACAAAAAAAATTGTTTTTAAGATCAATATCAGTATCAAAAAAAGGCGTGGCTTTAAAGGTTATTTGTTCAAGGGTAAATATAAGGCGTGGCTTTTTTCTCTCCAAACGTAGCACACAGACAATACACCTTGCTAACGTGCGTCACTACTTTGTCAATTTTTGTTCCTTGTTGAATCTATTGACGTCCACATCATGTTGACACATTGGACAATAAACTTTTAACAATTTGAAGTGATAATTACTAATTATTCCATTTTAGGTAAACAAAACCGTTGAAAATCAATGAAACATCCGATCTAAACGTCGTCTATATTCGGCAGTCATTAGAAGGTGTTCGAAAATAAATTCACTCCCACTGGGTATTGAAACATGAAGTCATTAAAATGTTTTATTGCACCATGATATGGCTAATATTGGAAATTTACTACAGTCAGATGCACTTAGAGAAATGACGTGTGTATTTGGAAAGGACTTTACAACATTTTTATAAAAAATCCACGCCTTGTAAAGGACCTAAAATAATAATTTTTAAAAATCCAAAAATTAATTTTTAGAAAAATCCGCGCCTTGTAAAGAACTTAAAAAATAATTTTTAAAAATCTAGGCTCTGTGAAGAACCTTAAAATTATTTTTTTTTTATTCCACGCATTGGGAAAATCATTAAAAAATATTTTTAAAAATTCCAAGCTAAGAAGGTCCTTAAACAATATTTCTTAAAAAAGCAATTTATTGGGAAGATCCTGTAAAAATATATTTTTTTAATCCACGCCTTGTGAAGAATATCCTTTAAAATTATATTTTTTAAAAATCCCACGCCTTGCGAAGATCCTTAAATTTTTTTTTTTAAATCCAAGCCTTGGGAAGATCCTTGAAAAAATTGTATTAAAATTCCCAATCCATTTTTAAAAATTCACCCATATAAGAAGTTCTTTAAAAATATATCTTTTTTTAATTTGGATCTCAACAGGTCGGACACGTTTTTTTTTTACGTTGTAAGAAAAATGTGTCAATATTGCGGAATTTTGTGTTAATTGTGCTTAACAATTTGTTTTTGCTCGATGAGGCATAACTAGGTAATTATTAGGCTTTGCTAAATAAAATCTTTGTTGGTTTTTATTCGGTTTATTTTTATTAGCCGACCGATCATACCTCTGGAACATGACTTGACCCACCCTCCTTGTCCCCTTTGTGCATGGAATTTTGTGTAAATAAATCAATCACAGCAATCAACGCGGACATTTATGGCCATTCTAATGGCCAAACAAAAGGTTATAAAAATAAAAAATATTTTATTGACAAAATGTAAAATTATTATAATTTCCGATTCCAGCTAAAATAAAAAAAAAAAACAAAATTGTTGACATCAAATTTTAAAATTAGCTTTTTATTGGTAAACCCTTAGGATGGGCAAAATGCAAAGTCGTTGTTTGTTTGAAATGATGACGACAATAAAAAATTTGTTAAGGTGTGTAGGATGGAGGATAGCACGTGAATGCTATAGAATTTTTGAATACGAATATAAATATTATAATTTTTTTATTTACCGTTAGATGAATGATATTTTAAGATTTAGATTTTTTGTTGGCATATATTTCCACACACACACACATCTTTTTTGGTATTTTATCACATAAGGAATCTATTTTATTGTAGGGTACACTCACTTCGAACTGACCGAATTTGTCAGCATTTTTTCCCAATGCTGTAAATAGTAATTTAATAGACACCCAGCTCCGACACTTTCACATAATTGCGTAAATGAAATGACTAAATACGGCATAACAAACGGAACATTTTATGTCTGTTGAGACAAAACTGGTTTCAGTAGCTCAGCAGTTTGGAAAAATACTCAACGCATCTGTTGGTTATCTAAACCAAAATATAATTAAAAACCAGTGAGCGGAGCAGTATAGTCGGACGGGCCGACCATGCGATACCCTACACAACTACAACGAACTCTAACTTTCTGAGGATGTTTATTCCGAGTCTGAGTAATATTTCGTGATATTTGCCCCCTCTTGTCCGATTAGAGGTTAACAACACCTCTTCCATACTTTTTTCGAATATTCAGTACAGTCCTTCTAATTACTTGTCCAGATTACCTTCTCGGTGGGTTGTGTTGTGATTTTCGGATTATACTCTACTCGAAAACACACAAAAAATTATGTTTTCGGTCCATTTCATCCCAAAATTTTAATCTGATCATCACCGAAAATTGTAGGCGTTGTTCTTGACCATAACTGGAACTTCATAAAAAATTTCAAAGCCATCAGCGCGATATTTCTCCCTCTAATGTGGTAATGGGTTACTGAATAATATCTGAATACGTAAGCACCTGTAAATATTTGACTGTAACTCCCACATCTGAGTAGATACATCGCTATATTTGGTATCAATTTAAAGGCCAACCACTCTTCTTGGATATGCTATCAACTCCTGTGGTCTACATCCTCCAGGAGTAAATATATATGCCATAGAATACAAATTTTGTCATTTTTCACACAAATGTCAGGGTCCATTTGACCCGCTAAATATTGACCGATCTTTATCAAAACATGCATGCTTATTCTCTGGCCCGATCCCCTTCTCCATGCTAAAATTCGCGGTGTTTGGGCCATAATTGCGGCCTCTGGAGCGACCAGAAAAACCGACAAAAATTTAGTATTGGTCCATTTCAAGGGGTCTTCATTGGCCAGAACCCATCCTACATGCAAAATTTCGTGAAGATTGGTCCATAACTGTGGCCTGTATCGTGTTTACAAATTATAATGGACAGACGGACGGACGGACACACATGTCTAGATCGACTCAGCTAGTCGAGATATGACGATCGGTATACTTAAAGGTGGGTCTAGGACCAATATTTCGCGGCGTTACAAACATTTGGGGCTGCACAAAGCTATAATACCCTGACAACATAGTTGTGTAGGGTATAACAAATACAATGTAGTTCAATACAGATCTGTAATTAATAATAATATACAAAATTTTTTTATTGAAATCCACGTTTTTAAAAGATATTGAAAATATATATAATATTATTTTTATTAATTTCAGAAAAATCTATGATTTGAGAAGATCTTTAAAAAATAAATTTTTAATAAAAATTAAATGCAAGAACATTTGTTTAATAAATCCAAGTCTTGGAAAGGATTTAAAAATTTATTGTGATTTTTTTTTAAATCCATGCCTTAGGAAGATTTTAAAAAAAAAAAAAATCCACGCCTTGTGTTGATCCTTGAAAAAATATTTTTTAAAAAAATCCACGCCGGGTGATGGTCCTTGAAAAAATATTCTTTAAAAATCCACGTCTTGTGATGGTCCTTGAAAAAGTATTCTTTAAAAAATCCACGCCTTTTTTAGGTCCTTGAAAAAATATTCGTTAAAAAATCCACGCCTGGTTTTGGGCCTTGAAAAAATATTCTTAAAAAAAATCCACGCTTTGTTGGTCGTTGAAAATTATTTTTTAAAAAAACCTAACCTTTCGATTAACAACCATTTTTTATATATTTTAATTAAATTTATTTATTTTTTATTTTTCAATACATTTGATCTATCACATTTTCAAATGCAATAATTTGTTGTAACAAAAACCCTTAATAAAATAAAAATGAAATATTGAGTTGAATTGGTTGATGAGTATCAAAATAATGCTGTGATGAGTAGTGATCTTAGACTAAAAGTTTAAAAAAATCGGGACTTATATTAAAAATAAACATTTGGTATTTTGGTTTTTCTGTTTTTCTTCTTCATTCGATAACGAGTCCTACGAACTACCCTTAACCTAAAATGACAAATAGATGTGCACTTTTGTTTAGACGGGAATGGGAACACATATCATTAAAACTAAATAATAAAATAAAAAAATAAAGCTGTGTCATACAAAGGGGGAGGAAGGGAGAGAGAGAGAGGGGAAGAGAGCGATAGGGTACGTACATTTGAAATTTCTGAAAATAAGGTCCTATTCTATAAATGAATTAAAATTAGAAACAAAATTTGCCAGCTTATCAACTATCCATATCTAAACTGGTATCACATTCTTCGGACGAGGATGAGGAGGAGGTCCCTTCGCTCGAGGCTCTTTGCTCTTCGCTGAGACATGAACGCCACGCCTCATCATCACCATCTAGATGGGAGATGACAATCGGTAGACTTCGGCGGGGATGTGTAATATACATCAGCGATGAAAAATTCGAACGTAGACCGAATAAATCCTTCGTACTGCTAATATCTTTGGCATCTAAATCACCGGGAATAACCTTGGCATCTTCGTCACTGGGCAGCGCATTAATTTCCATATGCCGAACATAACGTTTATTCCAATGATCACGACATGGTTGCCATAGGGCAACAATGAGGCCCAATAATACCAGAACAATACCCATGATGTCACAATACATGGGGAAATTTTTAACGTGCCGCAACAGTGATGCTCCATAATCGGATATTTCCATTGTCATATCGAACCAAACGACGGGAAAGGCAAAGTTTCGTTTGGTGGGAAAGGATCTGTAAAGAGAGAAAAATATAGATTTTAATATTTTTCAAGGACCTCTAAGGCGTGAATTTTTAAAAGAATATTTTTTTCAGTGACCTCCAAGGCGTGGATTTTTAAAAGAATAATTTTCAGGGACCTCCAAGGTGTGAATTTTTAAAAGATTTTATTTTTCAGGGACCTCCAAGGTGTGGATTTTAAAAAAATATATATTTTTTCAGGGACCTGCAAGGCGTGGACTGAATATTTTTTTCAGGGACTTTAAAAAAATATTTTTTCAGGTACCTCAACAGGGTGGATTTTTAGAAGAATTTTTTTTCATTGAGTTCCAAGGCGTGGACTTTAAAAGAATATTTTTTCAGGTACCTCAATAGGGTGGATTTTTAAAAGAATATCTTTTTCATTGAGTTCCAAGGCGTGGACTTTAAAAGAATATTTTTTTCAGGGACCTCCAAGGCGTGGACTTTAAAAGAATATTTTTTTTCAGGGACCTCCAAGGAGTGGATTTTTAAAAGAATATTTTTTCAGGGACCTCTGAGGGGTGCGCCTTTTTAAAATGATTTTTTTTCAGGGACCTCCAAGGCGTGGATTTTAAAAAGAATATTTTTCAAGGACCTCTAAGAGGTGCCTCTTTAAAATGATATTTTTTAAGGGCCTTTTTAAAATGATATTTTTTCAATGACCTCTAATTCTGAGGGGTTCTTTCTCCACCAAACTCACCTTATATGCGTTGTTGGCCTTATATAAATATTCAACTGCAAGCGACCCGTTAAATGCATCATCAGTCCCGTTCTTGGTTCCAAAATAAGATATGTTTCATGTGCCGTCCTATTCGGTGCTATACCCTCAACCTGATCCGCATAAAATGGATCAGCGTCCATAAAATGTGGTTTCGATATCAGTATTGGTATACCATAATAACAGTTACTGATATTAAATACACCATATGGTAAACATTCACCATCACAGTAGCATTTATTTTCCGGATACATAGTGCCATTGTCAAAGGCACTCGGAGAGATTTTATACCGATAAGCCCATACACCTTTGTAGTACACCTCACTGTCATAATCCGCCGTCACCGGTCGACAAAAATCCGTAAAGTAATATTCAATGGATTCATATTTTTTTAAATTGGTCCTCTGAAATTCTCCCGGAGATCCGTGTACGCCATTACAACCGCTAGCAAAGGCGTCGGTATAATTTTTACCCTTCCATTGAACCATTTGTCCGAGTTGCGACTTATCGCCCACGCCGGTGTGTATGCTGTGCACACCCAAGTAATCGGTGGAGCCATTGCGCTGAAAAAAATAAAATTATTAATTAATTTAAATTTTGAAAGTTTTTTTAAAAATCTTTTTTTATTTCTCTTCTACTTACAGCATAAGCATACCCAATCCGATCCCATGGCATAAAAACGCCCAGATTATATCTCAGCGAGGCCGGCAGCACTGCCAATAAATTTACAATATCATCATTGAAACCCCTGAAGAAGAATTCATCAGCAGTCCTCGTCCAGACAGCACCGTTTTTGTAGAACTTCAAGGCCATGTCGATCACTGTGCGCATCAGGTAAGGCCAATGTCGTGATTTTGCAGCAGCACCCTAAAAACACACACAAAATATAAAAATAATGCAAATTAGGCATTCGTTCTCTGGGCAGGACAATATATAGGGTCTATAATAAGCGTGCATTTTTTTAAATATTTTTTTCAAAGGACCTAAAGAAGGCGTGGATTTTTTAAAGAATATTTTTTCAAGGACCTAAAGAAGGCGTGGATTTTTTAAACAATATTTTTTCAAGGACCTAAAGAAGGCGCGGATTTTTTTAAGAATATTTTTCAAGGACCAACACCAAGGCGTGGATTTTTTAAAGAATAGTTTTTCAAGGATAAACACAAGGCGTGGATTTTTTAAAGAATATTTTTTCAAGGACCAACAACAAGGCGCGGATTTTTTAAAGAATATTTTTCAAGGACCAACACCAAGGCGTGGATTTTTTAAAGAATATCTTTTCAAGGACCATCACAAGGACCAATCGAGGTGGGCATTTTTTAAAGAATATTTTTTCAATGACCAATCGAGGCTTGGATTTTTTAAAGAATATTTTTTTCAAGGACCAATCGAGGTGGGAATTTTTAAAGAATATTTTTTCAAGGACCAATCGAGGCGTGGATTTTTTAGGGAATATTTGTTCAAGGACCAATCGAGGATTTTTTAAAGAATTTTTATCAAGGACTAATCGAGGCGTGGATTTTTTTAAAGAATATATTTCCAAGGACCTACAATAGGCGTGGATTTTTTAAAGAATATTTTTTCAAGGACCTTTTTTCAGGGACGTGGATTTTTTAAAGAATATTTTTACAAGGACCAATCGAGGTGGGCATTTTTTAAAGAATGTTTTTTTCAAGGACCAATCGAGGCGTGGATTTTTTAAAGAATATTTTTTCAAGGACCAATCGAGGCGTGGATTTTTTAAAGAATATTTTTTCAAGGACCAATCGAGGCGTGGATTTTTTAAAGAATATTTTTTCAAGGACCAATCGAGGCGTGGATTTTTTAAAGAATATTTTTTCAAGGACCAATCGAGGCGTGGATTTTTTAAAGAATATTTTTTCAAGGACCTTTTTTCAGGGACTGTAACAGGCGTGGATTTTTTAAAGAATATTTTTTCAAGGACCTTTTTTCAGGGACTATAACAGGCGTGGATTTTTTAAAGAATATTTTTTCAAGGACCTTTTTTCAGGGACTATAACAGGCGTGGATTTTTTAAAGAATATTTTTTCAAGGACCTTTTTTTAGGGACTATAACAGGCGTGGATTTTTTAAAGAATATTTTTTCAGGGACTATAACAGGCGTGGATTTTTTAAAAAATATTTTTTGAAGGACCTTTTTTCAGGGACTATAACAGGCCAATCGATTCGTGGATTTTTTAAAGAATATTTTTCAAGGACCTAATGAAGGCGTGGATTTTTTAAAGAATATTTTTTCAAGGACCTAATGAAGGCGTGGATTTTTTAAAGAATATTTTTTCAAGGACCTAAAGAAGGAGTGGACTTTTTAAAGAATATTTTTTCAAGGACCTAAAGAAGGCGTGGACTTTTTAAAGAATATTTTTTCAAGGACCTAAAGAAGGCGTGGACTTTTTAAAGAATATTTTTTCAAGGACCTAAAGGAGGCGTGGATTTTTTAAAGAATATTTTTCAAGGACCAATCGAGGCGTGGATTTTTTAAAGAATATTTTTCAAGGACCTAATGAAGGCGTGGATTTTTTAAAGAATATTTTTTCAATGACCAATCGAGGCGTGGATTTTTTAAAAAATATTTTTTCAAGGACCAATCGAGGCTTGGATTTTTTAAAGAATATTTTTCAGGGTCGTAAGCAGGCGTGGATTTTTTGAAAAATATTTTTCAGGGTCTTAAGCAGGCGTGGATTTTTTAAAGAATATTTTTCAAGGACCTACAATAGTCTTGGATTTTTTGAAGAATATTTCTTCAAGGACCTACAAAAGGCGTGGATTTTTTAAAGAATATTTTTTCAAGGGCCTACAATAGGCGTGGATTTTTTAAAGAATATTTTTTTCAAGGACGTGGGTTTTAATGAATATTTTTCAGGATCTCTATACCAAATTTTGTTTCTTTTGAATTTTGAAAATAATTTCTGAGTTCTTTACTTACCGCCAACAGAGCATTAATGGACACCAAGGTGTCATTCAGCCCCAGCTTCGAACGGGTTGTATTCAAATGATAATAATGCGTTTTGCCATAATCCACAGTGTGATTGTTGTCATGCCACTTGAATACCTTCTTATAGGGCACCTCTATATAACTGAAGGGTCCAACCTCATTCACCTTGGGCTTCTTGGACATATCATAAAATTCCTCAGAATTTGTCCAGTTGAAAAAATAGAAGTCCACCGATACATTGACATCAGGAGTGGCCCACATTTTGGTCAGTTCGCCACCGGGACGTAATATCATTTGCTAAAATAATTTAAAATAAATATAAATTATATCTTCTGATTTTACAAAATTCATTTCCGCTCATACTTACACTATCTATAAATCGCTCCAACAATGGCCTGGAATAGATTAGAAAAAATCCACCCAACGCTATCAGCAGCGTACCAAGGACAATATAAAAATATTTCGCATATTTTCGGGTACTTTTCAAAATCATTGTCGATGATCGGTGGGGCATTTTTATGCTGTTTGTGATTGGTGTGGTTGTAGTTGTGGTGGTGGTGTTAGTTAAAGGTCCGCGTTCTGCAGCTGGAGTCCGCCCGCAGTTTTAGTCCGGCAATCTATCTGCAATGCAAATAAAATACAGAAATGGAGAAATTGTTTTAAATCTTTTTATTTTCCATTCTAATGAAGTTCGCAGCAGAATTGCGAACGGCCAGTGCGAGAAGAACGAACGAAGATAATAGCAATTAGTTGTGTCGTTCTCGCCGTCTTTATGGGAGATTAAAATGAAGCTGACATCGTTGGGTCCCCTAGAAGTCAGTTTAGATATTGACGTTGTTGTTGTCTGTTTTTTATTATATATCTAAATTTAAAATATTACTTAGTTTAACATACATACATCCACAGTTTAATCTACTTGAAGTACCATTAAACAAAGACAGATATGTATAAAATGGCTATGGGGTCAAGATGGGGGTCAATAGTCAAAAATAAAATATAAACATCAGAATAGATAAACAAAATGATTCAAAAATTATTTCAAAACAGTGGTTTGTAGACAGAAAATGTTCTATTTATGACTGGTGCTTGAAAAAATATGTTTAAAAAATCCACGCCTAAGACTGGGGCTTGAACAAATATGTTTAAAAAATCCTCTCCTATGACTGGAGCTTGAAAACTATTTTTAAAAACCCACGCCTAAGACTGGCGCCTATGATTGGTACTTGAAAAAATATTTTTTTAAAAATCCACGCCTATGTTGGGTACTTGAAAAAAAATATTTAAAAAAAAAAATCGCCACTTATCGTTGATACCTTTAATGGAGTCTTATTCCGGCTACTGTTGTTATTCTTTAATTACTCCACAAGTTATTTAATTTTTTTTATAAATAAATGTACGAAGCGGTGATTTTTTATGTGTTGTCTTGAAATTCATGTCGTTGACATTTGCAATTAAAATAAAATGAAAGGTTAAGAAATGTCGATTAATTTTTTTCACCCTCTTTTTGCACGGCAAAGTTGCCGATCTCCAATTAGAATTATAAGGTGTAAATGGACCGTCATCATAATTTTGTTTTATTACCGCTATAATAATTGATGTTCGTGTTGTTGTTGTATTTGAGCAATTAATATTAAATAATGGATGGAGTTCGAGTCCAATACCGCATTCAAAACCACAAAAAGAAACCAAGAGTGAATATTTCACAGCGTCAGGTTTTACGCATTTCAATTCAAGCGTGGATTTCATTTCAATTACTAAAGAAATTAAACGCAGGCTAATGACTGAAGTATTGACAGCTAATATGCTGTAATTTATTGATATACGTTCTAGGAAGAAAATATGTTTTTCAATAACCACCAAGGCGTGGATTTTTTAGAAGAATATTTTTTTTTTAAAGAACAGGAAGAGATTTCTTAAAAAAATATTTTTTAAAGACCACGAAGTCGTGGAGTTTTAAAAGATTATTATACCCTACACAACTATGTTGCCAGGGTATTATAGCTTTGTGCAGGCCCAAGAGTTTGTAACGGCGCGAAATATTGGTCCTAGACCCACCTTTAAAAATACCGATCATATCATATCTCAACTAGCTGAGTCGATCTAGTCATGTGTGGCCGTCCGTCCGTCTGTCCATTATAATTTGTAAACACGATACAGGCCACAGTTATGGACCTAGGATGGGTTCTGGCCAATGTTTTTGGTAAAGATCGGGTAATGATTAGAGGATGAAATGGGCCAAAAACTTTATTTTTGTCTGATTATCTGGCCGCAATTATGGCCCAAACATCGCGAATTTGTACATGGAGAAGGTGATCGGGCCAAAGAATCAGCATGCCTGTTTTGATAAAGACAGTATTTAGCGGGTCCATTTGATCCTGACTTTTGTGTGCAAAATTACAAAATGTGTATTCTATGGCGTATATTTTTACTCCTGAAGGACATAGACCCGAGAAGTTGATAGTCTATCCAAGAGGAGTGGTTGACCTTTAAATTGATACAAAATTTTGTTTTGTTATTGTCGTATGTATTCGGATGTGGGAGTTACACTTAAATATTTACAGGTGCTTACGTATTCATATATTACTTGATAACCCATTACCACACTATTGGGCGGAAATATAGCGATCGCTTTGAAATTTTCCATGAGGATCCAGGTACGGTCAAGGACAACGACTATAATTTTCGATGATGATCAGATAATAATTTTGGGGTGAAGGGGACTGAAAACTTAATTTTTTGCGTTTTTCGCGAAATATTGCCCGAGCTCAGAATATAGAGGCACAGAATGTTAAAAAGTCGATTTATGTATGTCCGTCTGTCCATGTTAAATTGTAAACAAAGTACAGGTCGCATTTTTGATTCGAATTGGATGAAATTTGGCACAGCTCATTTATTTGGTCCAAAGCCGAACCCTATTGAAATTGGGAAAATTCGGTTCAGATTTCGAAATAGCTCCCATATATATTTTCGTCCGATTTAGGTAAATAGTGCTTCAAAGTCTCTTTATATCCTTCCATTTGCACGAAATTTAGCAAAGCGTACAGAATTGAATTTACAGTGATGAGTATAGAGTTTCGCGAAAATTGGTTCAGATTTAGATAAAACTCCCATATATTTTCGTCCGATTTTAGGTACATAGTGCACCAAAGTCCCTATATATCCTTGGATTTGCACGAAATTTGGCATAGCGCACTTAATTGAGTTTAGAATGATGTGTGCTAGGTTTCGTGAAAATCGGTTCAGATTTATATATAGCTCCCATATATATTTTCGTCCGATTTTATGTAAATGGTGTACTAAAAGCCCTATATATCTTTCGATTTGCACTAAATTTGGCATAGCGCACTTAATTGAGTCTAGAATGATGTGTGTTAATTTTCTTGAAAATCGGTTCAAATTTAGATAAAGCTCCCATATATATTTTCGTCCGATTTAATGTAAATGATGTACCAAAGCCCCTATATATCTTTCGATTTGCACGAAATTTGGTGTAGAGTAATGAATTAAGTCTAGAATGAGGTGTGTTAAGTTTCGTGATAATCGGTTCAGATTTAGATATAGCTCCCATATATATTTTCGTCCGATTTTATGTAATTTGGTACACCATCCCTACATATATTTCAATTTGCACGAAATTTGGCATGGAGTATAGAATTAAGCCTAGAACAATGTGTGTTTAGTTTCCTGATAATCGGTTCAGATTTAGATATAACTCCCATATATTTTCGTCCGATTTTAGGTACATAGTGCACCAAAGTTCCTATATATCCTTGAATTTGCACGAAATTTGGCATAGCGTACTAAATGAAGTCTAGAGTGATGTGTGTTAATTTTCTTGAAAATCGGTTTAGATTTAGATATGGCTCCCATATAAATTTTCTTCCGATTTAATGTAAATGGTGTACTAAAGTCCCTGTATATCTTTCGATTTCGGCGAAATTTGGCATGGAGTACTGAATTAAGTCTAGAATAATGTGTGTTAAGTTTCGTGATAATCGGTTTTGATTTCTATATTGCTCCCATATATATTTTCGTCCGATTTTAGATAAGTAGTGCACCAAAGTCCTATATATCCTTCGATTTGCATGAAATTTGGCATAGCGTAATGAATTAAGTCTAGAATGAGGTGTGTTTAGTTTCGTGAAAATCGGTTCAGATTTAGATATAGCTCTCATATATATTTTCGTCCGATTTTATATAAATAATGCACCGAAGCCCCTATATATTTTCGATTGACACGAAAATAGGCATAACGTACTGAATTAAGTCTAGAATGATATGTGTTGAGTTTTGGGGAGATCGGTTCAGATTTAGATATAGCTCCCGTATATATTTTCGTCTGATTTTATGTTAATGGTGCACCAAAGCCCCTATATTTTTTTCGCTTTGCACGAAATTGGGCATAGCGTACCGGATTGAGTCTAGATGGATGCGTGTTAAATTTCGTGAAAATCGGTTTAGATAAAGATATATCTCTCATATATATTTTCGCCTGATTTTAGTGGTGAAGGGTATCATATAGTCGGCTCCGCCCAACATTTGAGCTTCCCTTACTGGTTTAATATAGATTTGATCTTTAGGGACCACCCATAGGCGTGATTTTTTTGTAATATTTTTTCATAGGCCAGAATGTATGCATTGTTGTTATTTTCCTAATTAATCCCCGGAAAGCATTGAACTTGTCAATCATTTTCCTGAAGAGCTGTCAAATTAGAAATAAAAATAAATGAAATCGTACACATAACACAACCGATCTGCCTCCTCATTATCAATTAGGAACTATTTCAAACCTTATCATTTCGAATCATTAAATAGGCAGAGAAAATAAACACAGTTTCGTAATTATTGAAATCAGCCAATCATTGATTTTAAATATTGATAATCAACTATATTCTAGAAAACACAATTTTGTTCGGAAACTAAGGTCAAAGATAAATGATTTCCGGGGATAGGAAATTATTAAAGGACGAGATAATTTATTAAGGGAACCTTAGAGGAGCCTAGTGAATGAAAGAAAAAAAATAATTGCAAAATTATTTTTGAACTTTAATGTATGAATCACAATGATATTTTTCCAAGAATTTCGTTTTTTTTCGCCTTAATAGACCTATATTCCAAATGGTGTCCAGAGACCACTCTGATTTATGATCTGGACAATTGACTAAACTAATCTAATGACAGACAATAAATGTCAAACACACTTAAGTTTTCAGTAAACGTGCGATTATTAGTCTGTCTCTCCACAAGCGGGTGGAAGGGAACTATCTCACGCAAGGGGGTTACTCTGAACCCGCACGGGTTTTAAACCTCTTTTTGTGCTGTTATTATTTCTTTGCTTAATTGTCTTATTTGCGTTAGTCGTATCGGTTATTATTAGATTGGCTGCTGCTGCAATTATTTTTATTATTAATTATTTTCCTAAAGGAAGTCAACAATTTGAATATGAAATAAGGGTTAAAATAGAAAAGACAAAAGAAATTTGTATTGATCAGAGTGATTTTTCACCCGACAGCG